AGTATATGTGGGAATTTATTTATCTGATAAGCCTTAAGCATGTGCAAGAAATAAACATAAGTATAATAAATAACTAAACTAAAACAATTCAGGCTTAATTGTCTCAGTGCGCAATAGAAGCAAGATAAAATTTAGCGGAAGAACTTGTTGTTAGTCGCCAAGCTCATGATGCAAGGCTAGCCAAATTTGATGATGGCAGCTGCTAATTTTAAAGATTTTCAGACATCGCAAAACAAAGGTGAAATTTTCTAGTTAACAGATTTTGTAAAGAAATGTGGAGAAGCGGTAATAAATGAGGATGATATAAAAGAAGTTTTTCATTGTGATGATAATGCTTCTCAATCATCAATCATATAATGAATGGAGAAATCTGTAGTATGGTTCTTGATCCAGAAAATACCGCTACCGATAGTTAAGAAAGTGACAGAGATATTACTGAAAATGAGAAAATTTCAATTGAAAAGTCGGTCGGAATTCTCGAAACGACAGTAACAGAACTTCAACAATAAAACTAAATAAGAGATTATCTCTGTCTACAGAATTAAAGTATTATCACAAAAAACGAAGAAACTTAACTTACATTGAAAAAAATGTTTAATAAGGTAAACAAATAAATATTAAGCCCCCCCCTTTTTTTTTTTTTTTTTTTTTTTTGGTAAATTTTGATACCCTTTAGACCATAAATACTTCAGTATTTCATAAATTGCGATTTCATATTTTTAATTTTATAATTTCTGCATGCCATCTTACTAGATTTAAGCTGATGATCTATTATCTGAAAAAATCCCAAATCCGGAATCGCGAAAGTCCCGACGAGTCTGGATTCCGTAATTTGTACTTTGTTACATAAGTTGCAGTCATACAAGTTTGAACATCTCCTTACATCATTCCATGCAGTTTGACTCAAACTTCACTACTATATCTCATCTCGTGCTGCTGCACATTGCAGAACTACTACACTGACTACCAATAAATATTTGGACACCTATGCAAATGACGATATCTGCGGTCCTAAGGTATGTCACGGACTCCGCCGGTATATATCGTGTAGGAAGCAGAATCGGCTTTAGTCGCATGCAAGATGCCTTGCAATTCGGGAGCTCTCTGATTTCGAGAAAGGTATAATTATCGGGTATCACAAATGTGGCCGATCCTTAAGGGACATATCTAGCGATTTGAAGTACCCAAAATCGACAGTGGCCTATGTGATTAAGAAGTGGAAGGTGAGCGGTGATTGTCGGAATGTGCCCCGAGTCGGCAGACCAACGAAACTGGGAGATAGAGACTGGCGAGTGCTGTCCAGAGAAATTCGGAAGAACCGCACCTAACCGATGGCCCTCATCCGCGAGGAGTTTCAACAGGCATCCGGGAGTATTGTTTCAATGAATACCATCCGTAAGGAAGCACATCTGCTTGGTTTTCATGGTCGTGCTGCTGCCCATAAGCCTTTGATCACAAAAGCCCAACTGCGCTGCTCGGTTAATGTGGTGCAAAGCACATCGAAATTGGACCATAGATCAGTGGAAATGGTTTCTTTGGAGTGACGAATCAAGGTTCACCCTTTACCGTTCGGATGGCTGGGTCTGGCGTCTACCTGGAGAACGTCTCCTGCCAGAATGCATTGTGCCCAACAGTCAAGTTCGGCGGAGGTGGAATTATAGTCTGGGGGTGTTTCTCCTGGTATGGGCTGGGACCCTTGGTCCCCATTCATGGTAAGCTCAACTCCGATGCCTGCACTATTTTGGATGACAATGTGCTTCCTACGTTGTGGCAGTTTTACGGGTTGGACCCCTGTTACTTTCAGGACGACAATGCCAGTTGTCATGTTTCGACGTTAACTAGGGCTTGGTATGGTGCCAATGGAGTTCATCGAATGGACTGGCCTGCCCAGAGTCCAGACCTGAACCCTATCAAGAACATCTGGGACGAGTTGCATCACCGAATTCAGGGGTACACTACCCGTGCAAAATCGGTGAAGGATGTTGTTTCTTTAAGACGAGTGGGAGAAAATACTACTAGCTGTCATACAAAGACTTGTGGAAAGTATACCTCAGAGGGTCCACGCTGTAATTACCTCTCGTGGAGGCTCTACCAACTATTGATTTTGAATAAAGTTAGTTTTTCTTTTCTATCACAGGTGTCCAAATACTTATTGGTAGTCAGTGTATATCACAATGCGGCACATTTACATATATGCATGACATCACATTTTTATAGAGCCATAACTCAAGTGTTCCAGTGCTTTCTAGTTAAACCATCCTTATTGCTGTTACAGGTCTTCCACCAGCTAATACAGTGTCTTATTGACAGGTAGGATCTGGAACTAGAGTTTTGTCACAATTAACAAACTATATCGGATAGCAAATCCTTCTGTTTACCTAATGCAGTTAGAAATTCAACTTGTCATACTATACAACTTGTTGTTTCTATTCATCAAGTGCCCAATATTATTGTTATAATTATGTACAGCATAGCATTATAGTACCCAGGTGAGATGCATAGTTTTGTATGATGCAGTTATCAAGGTGATTCGGATTAACCATTGGCATTTTAAGTCCATATCCTGCAGGGTATGTTACATTGTCTAGATGCACTAACTATGACACCGCACTGAAAATCACTTAAATAATTGGTTACTTTCTGATTTCGTTCTTGTGTACACAGTTATCTATTTTCACTTAAAAAAGTTAGAGAATTGCACAGATTTGTCATTCTGCTAGCTGTTGTTCTTCCCTTTGTACATAGTGATCTATTTTTGCTTAAGAAATATGAATTGTAAAATTTTGTTGTTTAAAAAATACAACTTCTTGGAATGCAAATTTTTGCGTTGTCTACCATTGGACAAAGTACTGTATTTCTGAAGAAATGCAATGCTTTCTTTTTCACAAGGTGAAAACTGAAGGTACTTCATAAGGTGGAAATCTGCACTTGCCTGTTACATGTGCACATACCTGGGTTGCCATATAAATATATTTGGCAATGTAGTTCATTGTCTCATGAAAACTTTGCAGGGGGTTGCAGATATCAGAAAGAACCATTAACTGTTACTTGTTATTCTTGAGCCGTAAACAGTTTTCATAGCTGGCAGAGATATCTACATGCTGGAGGATGCAAAAGAATGTGCACATAGATCATGTATCTATGTATTTTGCATAAGCTTCTCTGTGCCAGTTTTTCTGGTACTAAATTTATGTATAATAAAAATTTATGTGATTTTATGAGCAGTACTGAGCAACAAGTTGTATTTATGTTGTAGCGACATTAGGATTTTTGAAAGCAGAAAACATAAAAAATGAGCAATGCCTTGGCTGGGACTTGAACCACAGACCTCTCGAAAACGCTTCGAGCGTGCTGACCACTGCACAACAAAGACATGCTAAGAAGGCAGGAGAAATATCTTATATACTCCCCTTTTAGAGGGCTACTAGGGATTAGGGGACACATTTGCCAAATCCTAGTGGTGGAGAATCATCACCAACCACCTTTTTTAGTTCGGGCACCGTTGTAGTGACATTAGGATTTTTGAAAGCAGGAGACGTGAAAAATGAGTAGTGCCTTCGCCGGGACTCCAACCACGGACCTCTCGAGAATGCGTCGAGCGTGCTGACCACTACATAGATGCATACTAAGAAGGTGGGAGAAATACCTTATAATGTAATATTTGTGTATATCAGTGGTATTTCTGCTTATAATATTGATGTTGCATTATAATGTTTAATATTGTTTATTAATAATGCATATTAATAAATCAAATATATCATTTAAGTATGAAAAGGTTTATCCTAAGTTTCTTATGAAATGTTTTTAAAATAAATCATGGAAAAAATATGTGCAAGAGAGTAGAATGATGAATGTATTGAAAATTTTTAATTTTTTGATGAACCCAGATTATAATTACAGTAAAATTTCCCCTGATGAACATATCAGAAAGTAACTTTTATTTTGCAGTATTTAATTATATCTGAAAATATAAATAAATGTTGTAAACTAAAAATGTAATGTTGTGTACATGGCTTTTACTTGTTACGTATCAGTATCCAGATTTTTATCATTATTGTTCAGAATAAGAGTTAAAATAATGTGCTTTTCTGTACCTCAAATTCATACAAAAAAAGTTGTTTGAATGTGTTGACTTTTTCAAATGATCTTTTGTGTGTGATAGTATTAGCATAAGTCAACCCTTCATGGAAAATTAAATTAATTTGGGTGGTGTTTAACTTTTTGCAGTATTTCTAAAAATTCTCTAAATGTAATTGTATTTTCTGAATAATTTATGTATATCAGGGTTTCTTAAACTATTGGTCACGACCCCCTTAGGAGTTGCGGTACCTGCAGCAGGGGGTCGCCAAAAATTTTAGTAGTTAACTTATTATAATAATTTTACAATTACCAAATATTTTTACACAATGTATCTGAAAATAAATAAAGATAAGACAATACAGACAAAGAAAAGAAAAACGTTTCGATGCATTCCTTTTATAATATAAACGTTCATTTTCCTTGCTTTGCACGTGATATCTGTTACTTATTTAAAATTTTCACATTGCTCTATGTCTTAAAATAAGAAATTAATGACCTAAAACTAGTATATTACAGTACAAGTGAAAAAATTGAAGGTTTCACTCGTGCGTGTGTCGGATTTGTGCAATGCTTATTCGGTCCCACAAAATTTTTTTTAATATTATGGGGTCCTGGGGGTCGTGACTGAAAAATATTTAAGAAACTCTGATGTGTATCAATCCTGAGATGAATGATTAGTGCTGTGAAACCTCTTTGGCCATCACTCCTAATAAAAACAAAGTGTGTGTCTGGGAATGTACTCCAAAATGTTATTGAACATCATTGATACTCTTATTCCCTAAGGTTGTCCTCAAGACTAAAATCTTCTGAAACTTTGAAAGCTAATTTTTTTAATAATAATTATATAAATTTTGGGGCTAAGCATTAACTTTTTTTCCTCTTAAATTTGTTCTCATGCTAATTTTTCCCCCTTTCAACAGCAGCCAAGATCCAAAGCCAGTTGAGTGCAGTTTGTGCCAAAGAAAATTTAAAAACATTCCTGCTTTAAATGGTCATATGAGACTTCATGGTGGTTACTTTAAGAAGGTTTGTTTTATTTCAATTATCAGATTTAAAACTAGTAATTTTGTTGCAGCTCCTATTAAATGAAAAATTGCTTACTTTTGTTAAATATATTCGTTCTTGCAAAAGAACATCCCAAAGAAATAAATTCTAAAATATCCAATAATAAGCTATAGGAATCAGCATAATGTGAGTAAGCTTAAGGAACTATAGTTTCAAAGTTTAAACTAAATGGTTATTTTCTCTTTCACAGTTGAAGGAGCCTTTGTTTAACTTTTAAAGCTATTCCTCTATACATTTGATATAACTTTAAAGCTATAATATATCAAATATTCTCTACCTATATCAATTAATTTTCCTTATTGGTTTCTTTAACATTTAGTGCTTTCATTTCTGAAATTAACCTTTAATTACTAGTAATGTGTTCTGTAAAATCTATGTTTGTGGTGCACGTTAATTTTATGGATTCCTTGTAGCATATAATAAGTATAAACTCAATTAATAGTTCTACATTGTAATATTTTATTATCAATAGCATAAATTTGTTTAACATTTTTTTTTAATTTATTCGGCACTACAGATCTTTTTTTTTTTTTTTTCCCATAGAACTATATGTTGAGCTCTAAGAGGGTTAAAATAAAAGATTGTTGATCTTAAATGTTATTTGAAAGATCTGATGATGCAGTAATTGTTATATTATTTGGCTGTATCAGATTATATGTAAATGCAAAAAAGTTATTTAACCTGTTTTCATTTGACACTAAAACAGCAACATTCTAATGTTACTGTTATGATACGCATTTTGATATAATTATTGAGTATGCATTGTCTTGTTGTCAAACTGTTAGTTTCCATTTTAAGTCGGATATATTTTATTATGATGCAATGCTTTAAATATGTTCAAGTGTTATATACTTTCCACTTTCATATGTAAGATCGAATGTTACTTCTTCAGAAATACTCTCTTCCATTACAAAACTGAAATTTTGCTTTATTTTTATTTGTAGATCTTTTACTACTATGAAATTATTGTTGAGAAATACTTTTCGGTTGTCTCCACTCACATTTTCTTGACAACAAAGATATGGTTTGTATGGTCCTTAAGAGTCCTGAGTTTTTTTTTTAAGCGATTTGTAGTCCTTAAAAGTCTTCAATTTTTGGAAAAACTTGCAAACAGTGTATAATTTTTCTCATCTGACATTTCCATCTCTTTTTCTCCGATTGTCATTGTGAGTGCAAATTGGCATTTTGGATGAATATCAATGAAGTCATCACAGCTTCATTTTGTAAACTATGAGAAACAATCAGCCATCCCCAAACAAGAGTTTTGAAATTTTTGATTGATTGTTCACCCAGTCTTCTGAAATAGATGTTATCAATAAAAGTACCATAAATCTGCAATGAAAAAGAGCAATTTCTTAAACTTGACCTTAGCCTTATGGCTGCACCTCGGCCTACATGTGATTGAAAATCTGACCTTCAAGAAAGTTGAAGGCAGAATTTCATAAAGATTGCCCCTCTATCATCAAATAAAATATTTTCCACTCCCTATCAATGAATTCAGAAATTCTTCAAAGACATAAATAGAGCATTTGAAAGAGTGGGAGGATATTCTGAAAAAATCTACTGAAATTAGAGTTATATAAATTTGGAGAGAACCACATAGTTATGCAGAAAATTCAAGCTCTAGATCTACCCTGCTCTAGTGTACTAGAAAAAACTGGGGCCAATTTTAGAGCATTCCTTTGGAAAAGTAATGATTAGTCAAATAAATATTTTAAAAAAAAAAAGATAAAAAGGGAGCAAGTGTTGAAGGGTTGACTGTTGAAACCAATTTATATATATATGACAGCTTTCAGAAAGATTCATAATCCTCCCATTAAAGCATATGCCACAGTTCATGAATTTTTCATAATTTTTAAACTGTGCTAAATTAATTTTTGGCAGATTTTGAAAGTTTTTGCAAAGGTGCTAAAAATTGTTCAAATTTAGCAGTTTGTCATCAGATTTGTATTTAAAGTGCATACTCTTGACAAAAGTTCAGGTTACCATTTAAGTTCACTCTTTTTATTGGTATATGAATTCTTTTTTTGTACATTGCTAAGTTAGGCAGTTTATAATGATTTTGGCAGTTTTAAGGTCAATTTGACTACAAAAATGTTGATTTGGTGATTTGTAAATTCCATGATGATTTCTTAATATAACGTTGTTATGATAATGTAAAATAATAACAGTATATTAAGCTTTTTAAATAATATTGAAATCTTAATTTTCATTTATTATGTTTTAAAGTGCTTTTGTCATTCATTTTCACAGTTTTTGAATATCTTCATACTGAAATTTTAACAAAACATCAAAAACATAATTTTGTCATAAAACAAAATTTTTTAATTACTTTTCAGCACATTTTACCGCCCTCCTTTTTTTTAGATCTAAATTATTTTTTCTTACAAAATTTCAGAAATTTTAATGGCTAATAATCTAGGAAAAGCCTATGATAAAATAGAAACTGTAATAATGGTATTACTACAAAATAGATATAATTTGCAGTGAAATTGTGATAAGTTTTTTTCTGTTTGGAGAATTTTCGCAAATCTGCAGTGAAAAACTTCTTCTTCTTCTTCTTTTTTTTTTTTTTTTTTTTTTAATTTGCTGTGTTGTTTATTATCATGGTTTCCATTATTTAAGCAGCATCAGGAGACATTTGGATTATATCAAAATACCTTTAATGGACTATCAAGGCAGCAACTTTCTTCAGAGCTCTTCTTACAACAGGCAGACTATTAATATTTCTGGTTAGAATTGCCGCCTATTTGGCAGTGGTTTGCAAAGAGCTCGCAGTTTGCTAGGAGTAGGATTCCTTCTTTTCCGCAGCTCACTAATGAAAATGCTGTTTGTGCCATTTAAATAACGAGAGCTGGATTATTAAGGCCTTTTCTACTTTTGATTCAAAGTCTTTCTCTTGGCATATTTCTCTTTCCTTTATTTACTCATCTGTTATTTTTCTGGTTTTCAGTATTCAGATGTATGAAAAACTGAAATAACGATTCTAATCTTGTTATATGAGTGAGAATCTATAGTTATTAGTATTCTCTGGTAATAAAGGTTATTAAAAATTCACAATTTTAAGATTCATCTTATATATTGGAATATGTGTTATATTATTTCATAAAGTATTCTGGAATTATTATCATTACTGAAATTATTAAGGAAATAAGATTAAGAATTGCTCACTCAAAATACCAGCAGCTTTTTAGAATCTTAATATCATTAGGAATAGACAAATCCGACGGGTCATTTAGCCATTTCATCCCCGCGTATATTGCACAAGAATTTTCTTCGAAGAGCAAAAATGATTACAGAACGCATTTCTCTTTTAAGAACAGGATTTGTGTGAACTGTACATGAAATGTATAGCATTTCTGTAAAAGTCAGGATCATAAGTGTAACGTTGAATTTTGCTTGAATTCAACATTATTGTGCTTGTTCACATTTTACATGAATTCTGAAAGAAAAAAAATGAATAATGCCAAAAACAGTGAACTAAATTGATCGTTAATTGAACATTTTGAAGATTTGGGGTGTTAATATCTATGTTGTGCTGTGTGTTCTCTAAAGTAAAATGCATTTTTTAAAATTTATTTATTCTTTATTTATGTGTGACAAAATATCCTTGCATGATTTTGAAAAAGAAATCAATTAAATATTTCAGTTCAGGTCCCCCCCCTCCAAAAAAAATAGTTTAATGGTAAACTATTAAGTTTTGGACATATCTCATAAAACTTCAATTATGAATTTTTTTTTTTATGTTAAATGAGAAAAAAGAAATTTAAATAATATTAAAAGTTGAGTTCAGAATTTCAAATGAATCTTGTATTAGTATATCACTTAGGATGATTTTTGCCATGTTTTACAGAAATGTAAAAATAAATTAAGATTTTGTGAAAACACGTTCCTTGAGTCAAATGCTGTATCAACTAATATTTGTAATTATTACATTTAAAAATATATGTCTAAACTGTGAGTGTGTATTTATTATTTGGATGAAAATATTCAGTATTGGGCAAATATAATTAACCTGCTTATTTCAAGTTTATCATTATGGTAATTTCATTTTTTGCATTGTATAAATTCAGTATACGTATTTATATGAAACTGCAATTCATTTCTCCCAAAAAAATTTCCTTGATCATTGTTGTTGTTGTTATTATTATTATTATTATTATTATTATTATTATTAGAAAAAGAAATATATTGTATTCAGATTCTCTTAAATGTTTCAATATGATCTCAAGTTGTGTTTTATCTTAATTTTTAAGGAAAATGAAGCAAAAAAGGGAGAAAAGAAGGGAAATGGTTCTTCCCATCATCCTCCATTACAAACTGCAAGTACAAATGTTAGGGCACTAATTGAAGAGAAGATTAACCAAAAACGGAATTTCTTGCCACAAACTACTGTTCAGAACACTGCTCTTGATAGTAGTCAAACTCAAGGTCAAGCATTTAGTTTTCAATCAAGTCAGTTGCAACAAAATCAGCAGCAAAACTCTAATTATATCTCACAAGCTTCACCAATTCTTAGTCCAGTTTCTCAGGAAAGTTCAGTTTTTAATAATTTTCCAACCACTAGTCAACCCTCTGATCTCGATACTCTTACAAGTAACAATTATGATGAGCAGACATGTGATATACTAAAAAAATTAGATCTTAAGGAACAATTTCGTGTACCTCATCCACCTGTTGAGAAGCATCGACGACATTCTGATTCTGATCATTTTATTCTTCCTAAGCGTCCTTGCACAACTTTCACAAACAGTGCCCTGGCAGATTTATTGCGGAACAGAGTTGTTGCCAAACGCACATGTCGAACGGGTTCTGACCCTGGGGAGCCTTTAAATATTGATACCCCTACACTTTCTGACATCTCTGATTCTCTAACATCTGTCTCTGTGAATGATCTTCCAAAATTTTCATCTTTGGTCCCGTCATCACTCAGCAGTGCTATGGAGGATGCTGCAACAGAACTGCACCAGCATAATCTTACTGCCCTAACCCCTGAAGATTCTGCTTTACCTGTTTTGTCTGCAGAAGATATACCAGAAGCGCAGCCAATGATTATGGGAATGCGAGATATTCCAGAACTAGACACTCAGTGCTTGGAGAGGAATGTCTTTTTTGATGGATCCAACAATGATCTGAGTGTTGGTCAAACCTTTCCTGAGATTACTGTTAGCGAGCTAGAGATGATGCAGTTTGCTTCAGTTGTAACATCCTCTGCAACAATCAGCAATGATATAAAGCCTGTGAATGGTGGGAAAGTGCGTGCTGGTGAGGACAGTAATGATGATGATGTCTTTTTAAGCCCGACGAGTCTTCCAACCAGTCCCATGAAATTGAAAAAGAAGCGGAGACCAGAGGTTAGTATTTTACAAATTGAAATTATGATATCTTGTTTGCTGAGATCATTTTCTTAGTTATACAAGTAAAGTTCTTTTTAAATTGGAATAATATTTTTGGCGTTCATATTTCTCTTTTAAAAAATTATTTATTCTTTGTATATGTGTCACAAAATAGCTTTGCATAATAAAAGACAAAAAAAAAGAAGGAACTCAACCGAACAATTCAATTCAGCTACCCCAAAAAAAAGGTTTCACGTATTTTAATTTATAGAACAAATAAAAAGCAGAATTTTTTTTAACTTCATTTTTATTGAACTGATAAAAATAACTAAACACATTTATTCGTTCTTCAGTGGTTACTTTAATAACTTCCCCCCCCCCTCACTACAAAAAAAGAAAAAAAAGGTATAAACAGAGCATTTTTGAAAAATCATACAAAATAAAATTCAGTGTACATTTATGCGTTATAAAACTATACCTTTGCTTCAGATCAGGAGAGCTTCAAAGCATGGAGGTAGGAAATTAGATGGAGTGGCTCTAAACCGGTTTCCCCATACCCTGCTTTGAAGCCCTTTCGATCCCTTCATTTGTGACCAAAACATTAGGTAATTTACCATTAAGTTCAATGGGTTTTGACACGATCGGATGTAAATATTTTGTAATTATGGCGTAAATATGCATATAAATGTATATATTTTCTTTTTCTACAATACTTCAGAGTCCTAAGTATATGAAAAGAATACATTTTTAAACAACATTTCATTCTGAATGGAATTAAATGCTATACTTTTCACAGAACAGTTTGCTCAGAATGGTTTAATTTGAATGAAATATTTCCAGAAGTTTTCGTTAATTACATTAGAAAGAAATTTTAAGGTAATTCGATTTTATTCGGTTAAAGATTACAAAAATTAAGATCAAAGTTTATTGTATTATTAATATTTAAATTATGCATTATTTCTTTTCTGTTTATAGAGCTTCTTCCTAAAATACGTTCTCAAATATGACATTGATTGTTTAGCTTCTGAGGCATCTTTTAAGTCGAAAAATATAAGTCAATTTATAATTAAAGCTCTATTCGGTCCATTTCAAATTAGAGCTCCTTTTATTTTAATAGTGAAATGCTTTAAATAGTACTTAACTTTCTCTGAATATTTCTAAAAGAGAATAAAATAAGGATTATTTTTTAAGTATTATTTAAAACTTGTAACTGAGTTATTATAAAATGTAAGGGGAGTAATTCTTTTAATTATACTTATCAGATTTTTTTACCTTTAATTTCAGCAATACATATTGCAAAACTCTTCTTTATTACTTTCTTAAGTACACATCTCATAGAAATTGCTTTACAATACCTTTTAACAGATTGCTTTCCAGTACGAACAATTCTTGCTTAACTAGTTTTATAACGTATTTGTCAACAGGATGTCAATTTAAGTTTACAATTCAATGTTAAGGTTATTATATATTTAGATAATATTTATAATCATTATAAATTTAGATACATTTAATAATTAGATTTTTTCACAGTTGTGTATGAATGAATAAATTCTTCATTTCAAATACATTTATAAATAATTTAATAAATATTTATGTATTTTGTTAAATGCAGATATATTGCTTTTTGCAAGCACATGCATAAATACCATTTTTCATTTTCGGCATGTGGAAATCTTTAATTTCTGTGTATTCACTATATTTTTCGAGTAAAGTAATTTACACTAATTTTAAAAAAGTACATGTTACAATAATATGTGGATGTAAAAAAAAATGTATTTTATTTAAAACATTTTGGCGTTTGAAACATAAAATAAAAGTAGCGAATACTGTATCAAGGGTATCGAAAGATGTATACAATTTTAAAGGTACGGTGAGGTATTTTTCCTTCTTTAGGCGTAACATTTTTACTGAAATCTATATTTTTGTAGCTCAACAGCTTAGAATTTTATAAAACAAATTCATAATCAAAATCGCTGTTGTTAGTTATCGAAAAATAACCAAGATGTGATTTTTGCGTAAATGTCACTAAACTATACAAATTGCTATTATCCATTACACTAGGAATTTTTCTTTTATGCAGAAGTGTCCCTTTTTTTATTTGTATGGAACTGTCGTGTGTCGAAATACTATCAGAGTGCTGTCAAGTGAGCTTCTGAATGTAAACAAAAAACACCCCATCTGGTGACTGAAGCTTCGGAGCGATGCTTCACTTCTAATGCAGGTTTCGCCACACCTTCCTTTCTTACCTCCATGCTTCAAGGGGGGGGGAGTAACACACCATTATCATTGTGCATTATGATTTTCATTAATTCTTAATTTTCTGTTGGTCATGAAGTTGATTAGCATTGAGTTTATAATAATGACAATATTAAATTAAATTGGTTAGTTGGCATTAAATTGAAATATTTAATTAAATGTTAACTTGTATTTTCGTACTCAAAACTTTTCATTCCTCTAAAGAAGAATCATTTGCAAAAACAGAGACTTATACAATTCACTACTTCATCTTTCCCTGAATGGAAAACATTTTGATCATAGCATCAGCTTATAATAGAGCTCTGTTTAGCTGAGTTTAAGGGTTTTAATGAAATCAGAGAACCTACTCACATTTTTTGGTTTAGTGGTCATGTACATCAAATGGTGTCCTTCCAATAGACAATATAATAGCTTCCAATAGATCACCAGATCTGGCAGTTTTAAACTTTTAGTCTTTGCTAAGGAAAATGAGTAGTTATGTATTAGCACAACCACCTTAGCACAGTTTGTCAAATTTTATGGGAGGAAAATGACTTTACGTTTTTAAAAATATATATGTATATTTTTTATATATGTACATATTACTACATATATAGTGTTATGGATTTGGTATTTAAATAGCTAATGTTAGTAGACTCATAAATTAAATTGTTTCTTCTCCATGCAGTGCAGCGCGTGACAAATATTAAAGGAAAGCTAAGTCGGAAAATTAAAAGTACAAGAGCACGTGTATTTAATATTTAATAAATAAATATCTCTTTTTGATTTCGAGAAAATTCTAGCGCGTTTAAAAAGTTTATATAAGCGGCATGGAAACCTCTCAATTCGTTAGTTGTTGTTTTAAGAGTTTGTTTAGAAAACTGCTCTTGTTGACTGTACCGAATTCGCTTAGCTTTCTCTAGCTGTTTTGAATTAAGTTCTCTTGAACGTTTGAGTAGTTAAAAGATAACCACTGTGAGATATTATAATACTGCATAAGGGAAATCCTGTCTCTGCAATACTTCATTGACGGCATCCGGAATACTGAAATACAGAAAGCTCTGCAAATGGCAGATGTGGAGGACATAAAAAAGCTCTCTGTTGTATGCCATAAATGTCAAGGCAGGCCTGCAAGCAACTCGTAGAGATCGCTACCCAGTCAGAGCTGTGCGAGTCACGAGCCAGTGGATCAATTGATGGCTCTTTTAGATGATTTATCCAGGCAAGTCGACGCTTTGATACGGAGTAGCAGTGAGAACAAAGTGGCTCTAAAGTATTGAGATGTCGTTCTGAAGGTCACCTACAATGGAAGCGCATAACACCTCGGGGTACAGAAAATAAAACAGATGATTTTACCAGACAAGTCAGTGGCTTGAGACAGAACAGAAGTGAAAAGAAACCAGCTCTAATGTGCTGGAACTGCAGAACACCCCAAAGCATGGAAAATATGACAAACGAGTTGAACAGACAATTAAATGCCATCGGACGAAAAAGGAGTGACAAGAAACAAAAGTGCTGGAACTGTGGATGTAAAGGCCACATGCGAAGGAACTGCAGAACACCCCGGAGCACGGAAATTGAGACCATTTCCCAGCAACGATGGAGGAAACAAATGAATGACCATATTGAGGAACGGAGGTCGCCAGAGAATGAAAAACCTTGTTTTAAAGTGCTCAAGATTTCTACAGTGAGTGGCAACAGTAACAGAATGTCCATCAATGGGCATATCGATGGAGTTCCTTACAATATGATCATTGACACAGGAGCTAATGTTACCATCATTCGGAGAGATTTAGCTCAACAGTTTAAAGATAAACTTATTTGGACACCATCCTGTGTTACCCTTCAGACTACATCTGGTGATAAGATCGACATAGCTGGGAAGTTAAACGTGAACATCATGTTTGCAAGTGCCGCCTACCATCACATGGCATATGTGGCGGATATTACAAATCCATGAGTACTCGGATTGGACTTTTTAAGGAAATATAATTTTTCCTTAGACCTTCAAAAACAATAAGCTGTTCTCAACATCTGAAGACATGGCGATCCATCTTTAAAAGGGATCATCGCCTGGAAACGCCGACGTCTCATGTGAAAGACCGTACTCATAAAGCTGCCGAAATCATACTAGGGTCGGAGAGAAACGCCAGACTACCTGCTATTCTCCAACTCAGATGCTCTTTGGTCGAGACCTTTGCCTACCTTGTGACCGCCTGTTTGGTCGCCTCATGGATGCGCCTTCATCGCCTGAGGAATACATCCAAGATGTCCAGGCCCGGTTGAAGTGATGCACCATTCTCCACGAGAGTCAATTTGGCGACGGAGAAGATGAAGACCAGATACAACACAAGAGCTACTGAACATCAACTCCACGAAGGAGACAAGGTGTGATTGCGGAATCCGACTCAACGGAAGGGATTCTGTCCAAAATTACAGTCACCTAGGGATAGTTCGTACACAGTCCTAAACAGGCTGAATGATGTTGTGGTTCGGATCCGTAAGTCTTCAAACTGTAAACCTAAAGTCGTTCATTACGACAGGTTAGCTCATTACTATGCCATAGTACGTGGTATAAATAATTGTACATAATGTAAGACCATGGTCCTATTTGTTTCTAAATGTGTATTTTATTTGTTTTATTTATTGCATTTATTGTTCATGTTGGTTGTTATTGTAATGTAATTTTTATTATTGCATTTATGCCTTAGTTGTAAGTTTGGCTTCCTGTCCAGGGATTGTACTGCCCGGGACGTGAAGTCCTTGATAAGGGGGCAGTGTTA